TTTTAAATTAACTGTAATATAAAATTCTACTGTAAATGAAATGCTAAAATCATTAATTCATTAAAAATTAAGTTCATACATTTAAGAAATTCAATTTTTTAAATCTTTAAAAACTTTATCAATGTTAAAAAATGAAATGAACCTTTACCAAATATTATTTACATTCATTATAAAATATGGTTAAAATAGTTTTAATTCTTTATGTAAAAATAATTTCCAATGAAGAAATGTTAATAATGATTTGATTACAACACAAAATTAGCATTTAAGATGTGGTCAACATTTGAAGTTTTGGAAGACATATATTCAAGTTATCAATACATGCATATTTGATGTATAAGATGTTTAAATCCTTCAGAAAAACCAACACTGAGCAATTCTTGATAGGGATAAATAACAAATAAATCTCCATCTTCAGAAAATACGAGTACAGCATTCAGGTTTAAATGATAGTAACTGACATATCACAGGGAAATTCAATGTAAAACTGAGGTTTTAGATATAAGAGTAATATATAAACCGAAACAGTATGAACAATTTATTATTGCCATTTTTGCCTGAGTTTTAAAATTACTTGAAAAATACAAAAAGCTACTCCATTCTTCAAAAAGGGCAATAATCTTGATTTTTGTCCAGAAGGTCAGGTACTATTACTCACATCCAATGTGGCAATTGCAACTCCCAGAAAGGCACCATTACTTTTGTTCCTTCCCTTATACTGAACTTGCAACTTGTGACAGTTTTGTTGTAGATGTGTCACTTTATACATAGGAGTATTTTCATATCAAACCCATAAAAAGGTACACTAAAACAACCATTACACTTACAATGTAAAAACAGTTATAAATGCTCAGTTATAGTACATTGCACAAAAACAGTGACATACTAATGTAATGAAAATTGAAAAGAAACAAAACAGTGCTTTAATGACTAGTTAAACACCATTGAAGTTTCTTTTGAGAGATGGAAGTTTTGATTTAGAATGATTGAGATCTTTACATTAAAACATATACTATTTTGGAATATTAGAACCAACAGAGATAGAGGAGCTTTGACCTTGGACTGTACTGGCCTCTTAGGTCTGCTGGTGCATCCTTCTGACTGAAGGATGACTGTTGCAAACCAATATTTTTTTAAACTCTACTCATTTAAGATTATTGAATATGTAGCTGAAGATTATTAAATAATATACACAAAATAGTGCAGTCACTAGGTATCTGGTCCAGGAAAAAATTCAGGAATTTTTTTTTCTCAACTGTTCTATATGTTTTTAGGGATGCTGAATTAATTTTTATGTTTGGCACCTTGAAAGAGGCCGGCTCTCTACAATTACAAAAAACCTTACAAATTTCACACTTTTTTCAATTTTGTTTTGTATATCTTCAAAGCTGTACGTTTTACTGAAAAAGCCACTTTCAACAAAATTAAAGTTGATAAAATTACCTTCAAAATACATATATCAACTATAATTTTGCAGAAATCTCTTTGGCACTAGAGCATGCTGAAATTGGTGAGTTTAGAACCTCTGGCAAAAACAGGAGAATAGCTTACTCCCACCCTCCTACCACCTCTACTGAAATTGAAGGAGAAAGCCTTTGTCTTCTTCAATTACAAGCATAAATGTGTTATCAAACATCTGAACACATCCTTTTGTGATGACAAAATTTTGTATAGAAGGAACCTGCTCATCAACATCCGCAACTTTCCAGGAACACCTTACATTTAATGAATACAACTTGTAGCAGTTTCTCGGGGAGCTGGGATCTGTTGAAGGGTTATTGGGGTCAAGCCATTCCCTGTCCCACTCCCATCGTTCAGGCAAGGGCAGATCCAGCTGATCATTGGGGAGGGACAACATTGTATTTTTTTGTTGAATAATAATCATATTTGTTATTATACTGTATATTATCTATGTACTGCAGATATGATACTATACAAACATGCTGTTTCAATTATTACATAATTCGAACATAAATAAATATTTAAATCAATTTTGCCAAATAAAGGAAGGTTAACGAAAACTCTAGGCCTTTGGAGAGGGGGGGGGGGGGTCAGCACCCCAAAAGCCATTGAACCTGTGAGAAAAACATCCAGATTTTTTTATCTGGATCAGATCTCTTTTTAGGCACCAGGTGACTGGACTAAATCTTCACAGTATGTCTAAAGATCGTTTGTGTATTCTTACTTCTGGGACAGTGCATTTTAAGTGGCCCAGAATTGAATAAATAGCTCGACCATCTCAAAAAATCATATTTTGTATTTTCATATCCTTATGTTTTAGTTCAAGAGCATTTGATTTTTTTTATTTCAACTTGTTTACAAATGGCGGCCATTTTTGTTTTATGCTATGTGCCATTTTTTGTGTTTGTTGACACTTTTCTAAATTACTCAGCTCTGGATTGTTATAACTTTCTAGAATAAAAAGCATTGGATTCAGTATACTCTGGCCTACAAATTGAAATATTATTTATGAACCTTCTATGTTTTATATGGGAAATATTTGGAATGAAATCAATGGATCGCGAATGAACGAAATTCGATTTTCAGAGAGTAATTTATCAAAGGAATAGAATCAAAGCCTCAATTTCTTCCGTGCTTTTACACATAACAGTATAGTTACTTTTTGTAAAATATTATTGGTACATAAAGTACCACTTGAAAATTTCATCCTCATGAAAATTAGAATTTTGGATTTTTTTCCAAATTCTCAACTGCAATGTCTCTGTTGGGGGACCATGTAAAAACTTGAAAATTGCACACATGCTAGATCGCTGCAATATCAAACTTTAGTGAAAATGTCAACTTTTAGATTTAAATTAATTTCCACATTGTGGATCTGTTGAGCCAAGTAGTAATCACATTATTTTGAAGTTATCTTGAAATAAAATCTATAATGACTTAAAATAATATATTATATTAATTAATTTTATTATTAATAAACATAAAAGTTGCCTAATGCATAATTTTCAATATTATGTATACTTTACTGTAAAACAAATTTACAACTTCACATTTCTGTCTGTATTTAAACTATAGTCATTTTGATTTTAAAAGCAGAACCGAAACCGTTAAAACGGAAGCATGGCGCACAGTGTAAAACAAAAATGGCCGCCATTTGTAAACCAGGTGCAATAAAAAAAATTAAATATGTTTTTGAACAGCCAAAACATAAGGAAATGTATGTACAAAATATGAATTTTTTTCAAGATGGTTGAGCGTCCAGTGTTGGACCACTAAAAATGGATTGACCTTTCATTTTAAAGAGATGTTCTGTACCATTAATATACATGTAAATATACCATAAATGTAAAGACTCCTTGACCAGATATCACAAACAAATAGTGTCAGAATTCAGGATTTTTAAAGACAACAAAAATGATTCAAATTATTTATAAAACCATAATTAAATTTACATACTCCAAGTAAGAGTACACTTCCTAGCATTCCAGTCACAGGTTTCAAGGCAGTATTTACAGAGTTAAAAACGTTATACCGCTGTTTTGCCATTCCACTCTATTTATGGTTCAGAAATGGCAATGTTAAACAGTCTGACGGTACCTTCATCCCAGTCTGTTATGTAACCACACAATAAAGGCACATTGAGCGAAAAATACAGAAATTCACAGTTGCAAAGCACTTTGAAGAACAACAAAAACAGAAGTAATATTTGACAGAGTTCCATTGAACTTTGCCATTCCAAATGCTAATAACATTTATAAGGGATTACAGTAAAGAGGATGTCACTGTGGAACAACTTTTGGAATGCACTGTACAATCATTCAAAAAAAACAAATAAAAAAAGATATATTAATTCAGATTATGGTAATCTGAAACACTCAAGCGTAGAATTAACTTAAATTTGAAGAAATGTCACAGGTTATCGAAACTAAAAAAATTATTATCAGGATTAAAAAAACTATTTAAAAAAACAGGATTAAAAAACCAAGTATTTCCCATAAACTAAATATAATATTTGCAAGAAAATACTTACTTACAAATGTTCACACAACTTGAAATTGAGCTGGTAAATGCATACTTTTGTATTTATGAATTTGGTCATGAAGGCTTGAATGAGAGAAATCCTGCATGTAATGCAGGTAACATTAGGAGATGATTTGTTAGATACAAGGTTAATACTAGGGCTAATGTGGGAAAGGCCTGAAAATCCCTGGTTCTATTGAGAAACAACCACAGGTCAGTAGTTCACACTTAAGCACCTTCTTGCTTTGTACTTATATCATTAATTACAAATTTCTAAAAATGCATACATTTTTAAATAAATAATAAAAATAAGCCAATTGAAACTGCAACGAAGTCAGCATATCTACTGAAACTTAAAATTTAAGACCAATACTAGTGGAGCAATTTCAATAAATAAACTATACCACTAGTATCGACAGTCAAGAAGCTTAGAGAATCAGGAGAGCAAGAAATTTTCAATGCATGAGAACCTACTAATTTTACACAGCCCAAAAGTAAAGGGTCACGTTCGTCATCTCTTTTAAATGATCCTTCACGCTGCTGAGTAACACTTTCCCAATGTCTTCCATTATAATTAGTAGTATTTGAAGTTAAATTGTTTGCATTTGATGAATTGTCATCAAGCAAATTTGTCACATTCCACCATCCAATTTTCTCTCCAATAGTTACCAACAAGTCCAAATTTGGAGAGATATTAGATTTTGTAGATGTAGTATATAACATGTCCCGCACAGGTGAAGTATGTAACTTCAGTTTCTTAACTAGTTGCAAATTCTTCAAGTTCCACACCTGCAACAATTTTACCAATTCATTACCACCCATTACCAATGCAACATAGGTTAAATTTCTTGATCTTTTACCAATATTATTACATCTTTCATAAATCAACTATTTCTATCATTTTGTTGCTTGAATTTGATATCTTAACAAGTATTGCTGGCTTAAGACTATACCAACAAATTCCAAATTTCTCAAACATTGTTTTGCAAATATAATTACTTTTTCCCTAATAGTCACAGGAAAACAATTGAAAGCAGAATATTTTAACATTTCACTATAAATGAGAAAAACATTTTTTTTCTTCCCACACTCACCAAAATTTCGCCAGAATGTAATCCAAGAGCTATAAGATCACCAAGTGGTGATATTCGACAACATTGTATAGCAGGATTTTCATTGTTCCCTATCTTCTTTGCTTTTACAGAGGTAACAGATATATAAGGAGAATCCTTATGTAATGCAAGGGTGGCAACTAGAAAACTACATGTTGCATCAGCCAATACCAAAACATTAAATTGTTCTGAAATATCAGCAGAGGTAATACAAGCTTTTGAAAGTCGCCCAGTTAATACTTGACTTAGTTCACCACTTAAAACATCCCACAGCTGTAACAAAATAAAAGAAGATACTCTTTAATTTTACAATACATTAAAAAATAATGTTAATAATATTTATAGACACTCACCTTTACACCTGCATCTTCATTACATGCCAGCAATAGCTCTGTATTCGGGACCAAAAAGCTTCGTACCACAGGACCAGTTTGACCATAGCAAACCGAAACAGTACCGTCTTGCTTCCAGATCTAGAATAGAGAGAGAGAGAGAGAGAGAGAGAGAGGTGCAAGAGTGAAAGGGAGCGCAAGCGCTGAGCGTGCGCGTGTGTCAATTTCTCAATTGACTGTGTGATCACTCAGGTTGCACAAATTTAATTGTTATATATGGTGTTGTCATTTGACGCAATAACCAAGTACTTTCTATCTCACAGCTAACCCATTCAAGCGGGTGTAGTTTCAGCTGTGGCAAGTAAATGGGAAAGCCAGTCAAAATTTGGCCGTGTTCTGAATTGTCAAACTTAATGGGGCCTGACACCCACCAAAAGAATAACCCATCCACTTAAAATGAAATTAGATTAATGAAACCTAATGTGCTTTGTGCCGGGCATTACCTTAGACATTAATATGGCACATAACAGTATACGAACAAATACATAAATAAGTGAAATAAAAAAATGAAGATTTAATTAATGATTAACTGAGTGAATGATTTTCTCTATCATGAGAATAATTCACTTATTCAAGCACTTAACTAACTTGCTAGCAACTTATGTCACAGACATACCTTTAAGCTAGTGTTGTCACCAGCAGCAACAAGTAAAAGATTTCCATTTTGAAAGCACTGTACGTAAGTAACTTTGTTATCCAGTTTCATAATGACCTCTCTGGAACCATCATCAAAATTGAACATCTTTACTTGACCATCAGCACAGCCATAAAAAACACATCCTGAACAAGCTACACTGCACACTAAAATCTGCTGAGATTCTTCAGGAGTATCTTGTAAGAATTCACTACCAAGGAGAATCTAAAAGGTAAAAAGTAAATAATTTTACTTCTTCTTACTGTGACAATACAATTGTGTTTTAATAATACTAATAACATTACAATAAAAGCAAAACATTCTTCAAGTGACATCCTTTACCTAGGTAAATAGCCATTAATGAGGAAAATGAATATAAGAATGGAATCAGGGTGAACTGATTGAGTCCATGAAAACACACAGAAACTAGTGGTGCTATTGAATTAGTGTGGTATAGACTAATTGGTCATACTACAGAACTGGCAGCATATAAGCAACTCTGACAGTTTAGTGCATTGTTGCCAGACATTACTATGCACACAGCACCAGCTACATCACAGATAAATTAAATCTCAAAACATTAACACTTACTAACAGGCTCTGACACATCTTAATGTCATGTTCATAACTTCGCCAAAGCCAAACCTTACTGCCTCCACGACTTGGTGCAAGTCTGATAAGCAGGAATTCTCAACTGGGGCTGTAAGAAAGTAATCAAATCCTCCAAGCCTATTACTTCAGAGGTCACATGACATACCACAGTTCATGGGGAGAGAAATGTCAGAGTTGCCTATATTGTAATTAGTTTTCCTTCCTCTTTACCATGGGCTAGTGTTTAGGTTTTACCATACCCTCTTCCCAGTTGCTACACATGTCAAAAAGTAATTTTTTCACATTTTTGCAGTTTTTAGGTCCCCTTATAGTAGAATTGAAATATGACTTTAAAAATATTATAGAAGAGTAAAATATGGTCCATTTACAAATTTTCAATGAAACATTGCAAGCTTTTTTGAGAAAAGTTGGTTTGAGGATTTCTAAAAATGCATAATTTTCAGCTCTTTTTCACAGAAAACTTTCAAGTTTTAAAGAATCTTCATAAGAAATCATTACATGAACTCACAAAAACAATAATGTAAATATTAATAACATGAACAATATTTAATTTTTTTTAAAAGTGTAATTAAAAAAAAAAAAAAAAATTAAAAGAGTACCCCAAATTGCATTTATGCAGTTATTAAGTGCATGTAGCTCAGAACACTACTACAATAATACTCTATCCATACAAATTGTTTCAAGAAAGTATTTGAAGTTGTTTTTGAGAAAATTTTGTTTTTAATATTGCCCACTCAAATTTAGGTAAAAGGCTTACAAAATTTTGAAAAAATGGACACAACATTAATTTTAGAATTGACAACAATAAACCCATTTATTTGACGAAAAAAAAAAATCTTGAAAATCATCACAAATGTGGTTGTTTTAGGGGGTGCAAAAAATTTCTAACATTTACAACTTTTGAAAATTTAGAATTAACGGAGAAAATCAGATCTACAGGTGTGCCATCTTTGTAAGGGTATTTTACTATTTTCTTTCAAGAAATTTAAAGAAAAAGTATGGAGTCATTTTTGTAAATGTTCCAAGGACTTTAGCTAATTTACCTGTATAATTCAAAGAAATCTTTTCAAAATCTCACAACTTTGAGTCATGCCAGATCAATATGGGAATATTTTTTTGGGCAAAAATTATACTATTAGTTTAGGCAGTCTTGTTCACAGACAGATGGACAGGAAAGTTAAAATGGGTTGAACATACAAAAATTGGTGGTGCACTTCTCATATTATTTGTAACAATTATGTAATAATAGTAATATTATTTGAACCTGCAAAAATATAGGCCCTGGATGGGATTCAAACCCAGATACATAGGTAATGTTTACAATGAATTTATCCACTAGATCACTTCACTGCTGGTATTCAAACACTCCCAATAGATAAAAAGAATGGTGAAATTTTGCAATTATTGAAGTTAAAACCAATACAAAATAAGCACACAATACCAACCTGTACCCTATTCTTTGAATCAGGCATAGCAACAATTGGCTGCCAGTCCTCCTTAAATGTCCATGTTGAATCAAAGTAGGGAAGTAGGTTCACAGATGACACTGTACTACTCTGATCTAGGCGCCAAATTTTTACTGTTCGATCATCACTCCCACATAAAAGAAGAGGAGTACAATCCTTTACATATGTGTCTAAGCATCTAGCAATCCTGAACAAAAATATTAACATTACCACAAGATATTTTACATAAAAACAAATAATAAATGTTGAAAATATTACATAAATTAAAGTTCACAAAAAATGCTCCATTTTAAGTTACCTACCCACTGTAATTTTTGTGTTCTGCTATTAAAATTTCCATTTTTAGGTCATATACAGATATTATGTAGTCAGATGAAGCAGTCACAAGATGTGTTCCATCATTTGAAATAGCCGCGCACACATAACCACACTTTTTTTTACCAAATGAATGCTGTGATATTTTCCCCAATGAAAATGTTGCCACTGAAGGAAGATTTACTGGATTTGAAATCTCAGGTTCATCCCATTCCCAAATTTGCATCTCTTCCGATGAAATAACTATAACTTTATTACTATCAACTGTAACATTTAATACAGACATTTCAATTTATGATTAAATAAAAATGTCCAAAACTTTTTCATCTGTGAAGTACAAATAACAAATTGAAAATAAAAATTTCAATTCAAAAATTACTTACTGGGAACACTAAGCACAGAAATAATATTGCTAGAATTACGAAAACTTCCAAGAGATTCAGAAGTTTTATTATCATAAATATTTATTTGAGAATTATCTCCCAGAAAAAGACGAGTGTCATCCCAGGAAAACGTACAACAAGTAGCCATATTATCTCCTTCCACTTCCAAAGTGAATCGAGATACACCACTTTCACAGTCCCACACCTGCAAATTCAGATACCAAAAGACAAAAAATTGTAATTGTACCAACAACTAGATTTGTTTTTACAAATCATGCATAACATACACTGGTGGAACTATAAGCATATTTCTTAGGTATTACTGCAGGTTACTAAGTTAAAATGATTTGTGTTAAAAGAAATGGGGAGGTTACTGATTGTGCCCTCAAAGAAATTCTTAAGAAAAACTTAGAATTACTACAAATTCAGTATGAAGCTTAATCTTTTAAAAGTTCAGATCAGTGTCAGGGTGATCTAGCATTCCTTTGTAATATTTGTAATATGCCAAGTAGAGATGTAAGAGGAAAAAAGAAACACCCTCTGACAAGAATCTCTGATAAGAATCCTAAAAAATCAGCAGGAATTCAAGGAGTACAAAGGTAGAAATCAGGACCGGTAAGTGAATGGTATACTAGTGGAGGAAAAGACATAAAATACTTATGAAAAGCAGATATAAAGATAATAATTGGAGAAAAGACTTGAAGTTAGGCATGCTAAATGGAGCAAAACTGGATACATTTCAATTAATTAATGACAGAAAACCGAAGATCAGCAAATACGATTGATAAACCTTTAAAAACTACAACAAAGAACATTGAACAAATTTTCAGGCAAGTACTTATAACAATTGTAAAACTTCCAAAAATGTTTTGGAAATGCCAAACCAAATCAAACTTATAAATTAAATTCATACTTATAAATTAAACTGGAATCTCTCTTGATACAGTTAAACTGAATGAAGTTAAGCAAACAACAACAGAAATGAAAATATTTTTCTTCTGATCTTATAAACCAATGATACATTAAAAAAATCTTACTTACAAATGTTTGTGTTTTATAGTACCTGATGAAGAGAACTAAGTTTTCTAAATACTATACAGGTAAACTCTAAGAAATAAATTACAATACGAACAGAAATATAAACATTGTAATGTGATAATTATAACAATACGATTCATTTTACAGTTTTAAATTTAGAAATTCTTGACTATTAGAGAAATAGAACAATAACAGACTCTTTAAATAAGTAATGCCAGGTAAATTTTAATTGATGGTGTTTTCTGAAGTTAACTTCTTCCATATGCAGCCAAAGTTTTTCCACTGGTGTTTGATAAAAGAGAGGAGAATTTTTGGGGAAAAGTGTTCATTAGATAGGTTTAGGTTATTTTAAGAGTGTGAGATGACTTCCACTACAGAATCTTCAAAAAGACTTAAAAAAAGCGCAAGAAAAAAGAAAAGAAAGAAAAAAAAAAGAATAAAAGAAATGGGTTAAGCCCAGAATGAAAGTGTAAATGGTTGGATTCTGTTTAGATGTAGTTGGGCCTGCAGAGAAGTGTTCAGCTTTCAGTTATTTCTGATTCTGTTATTGTTACAAGATTTTATAGTCAATATAAGAATGAATGATTCAGTACAGGTATTTCAAGGAACTTCAGCAAAAAAATATAAAACAGAAGTGGATAAATAATACATTATAGGACTCTATTTAAAATATTTAATCGTAAATGGCAATAAAAGTTACATAGTAAAAATAAGAATTCATACCTTTTTGAAATATAATAAATAATTTGAAATTTTATTTGTAAAATGCTCCTAAACACCTCTCTCCTTGGCTCGTATTTGTGTATGCTATTGAGCTATACACTATTACAAATTATGCACTTCACACATGCTGTTAATATTTGTTATCAATAATCCTGACAAAGCATTAGATAAACTGCAGAATTCAAGAGCTCAAGCTCCTAAGAATGGCTTGATAAATTTTATACATTCTTTGGGCCTGTAATTAATATTTAACATCAGAGGTGCACACACATTCACACAAAAGAATTGGAGTAATGATGCTGGAAATGAAAGAGAAGCACTTTGCCAATAAAACCTAAGTTAAACAATGTATCGATACATATGTAAGCTTCCGAGGCTCGATTCCATAAATTCTTGGCTATCCAGGAGACACCGCGTCGTTGGCTGAGAGGTCGATGTTTCACCTGACATGTCGCAGGCTTCTTTACTACCCTGAGAAAGCCTGTGACATGTCAGGCAAAACGTTGTCCACCCAGCCAACGAAGCGGTGTCTCCCGGATAGCCAAGAATTTATAAATAATGTATCTTCAAACAAACTGTCAGGGTTAAACTTCTTCTTTAAAATATATTCATTTTCATTTGCTTAAATGTACACACATTTTTATAACTAGCATTAAAAGAACATTTTCATTTTGAACATTTCATTTAACCTTTCAAAAGCCCAAATTTTATTACAATAATAACGAAATGGAAGATTTAACGTTGTGAAAGGGCCAAAAGAATCAATATTTAAAGAGGATCCACTATTGGTCTACAAAATATTGGAATATACAATATTCATACATCAAAGTAACTCTTCTGCAAACAAACTGCAGTAAAACCCCTCTTTTATTATTTTCAAGGGTACAGGAAAAATTATTTAAATCACAGAAAAATGCAGATGATGGGAAATTACTTATGCTTAAAGTATATTAGCATACAGAACATTAATTTATCTACATTTGTTAATAATATTAATCTTTAATGAAAAATAATTAGACTTCTTAGGCCTTGCACTTGAAAATATACTAATTCTACTGTTTTCTATTATTTTTTCTTCTTTTAGAATACAAATATTCTCATACTGAAACCATGTAATTACTCTAGATCTTTTTAAAACTATAGAATATTTAAAAAAAAGCACATTACTCTATCTAGAAAGAAAGAAAGGAGCTTCTGAGAGAAAGGTAAATAGCTTGGAAATAATGGTACTCACTGTCTGTGATTGCACCTTTAAGATCATTGTTTGATAAAATAATATAAAACAAAAAAATTATGATAGAGAATAGAAAAAAGAAGTCACTGGACACAACAGTATAAGGCCTATTGACTGAGATAATAGCAAAATTAGAAGTGAAAAGCGAATTTACACAATCGCTGATAATGCTTCTGCCATATGCCAAACAATGCGAACATTTCTCATTTTAAAAATACAATTTAAAGCCAGGTCAATAGTTCAGGACAGGATAGGCCAATATTGAGTAATTCTGAACATTTTGTATCACAAAAAGTCAAATATTTCTAGGGCATGATGAAAACAAACATACAAGACCATTAACCATCCTATCCTTTGCATTTGTGCAGTCAGGGAAGAAAAGCTTGATGGTGGGAAATTTTAATTTCTCAAGTGTAAAAATAGTGACAATTTTACATTGTGAACTTAGTGGAATTGAAGGAACAGGCAGCAAAAATTGGCATAAATGGTGAGAAAACACATTCCAGGAAAGAGGGATTTTACCGTTTCACATTCAGAATATGAAATGTATCATTTTTTATTTTAGCTTATAACCAATTCCATTGTTAATTACATTAAATATTTACTATTGAAAGTAAACAAGGGGAAAGGTTATCTGTCAGTCTTTTGGAAATTCACAAAATGATCGTACAATTTATGATAGATAATAATTACAGAGATGGTTTATTCAGACTAATACAAAGGTGAGAATTTTTATGAAGAACCAAATTTTAGAAGTGATCACAGAGATGAAGGCTATTTTTTCACTACCAAAATCTAAGATTAAGATGGATTTCCTCTGGTTATAACTGATTCATGACCTATGGTTAAGTATTAACAATTATTGAAATGACAAAAAAGTTTTTACTAATTTTTCTAAAAAGTCTTGAAGAATTTAAAGTCTTCAAAACTGAATCAATTTACCTGAAAAATTTTGCATTTAATGAATGGATGTAAAATACAATTTCCTGCAAAATATCAATTAATATACAATTTAAAGATTGTTAGTTTGGAAATTCTATTTTCAGAAATCTGAAGGCAACTGTTTTTGCACATCATCGTCATAACTGAGTAAGAAGGATCTGCATAGATGTGAAAGTACTAGAGTACATATATTTTAAAATATGAAATAACCGTGACTATGTAGTCTACTTTGGATCTGCAATGTAAACTTGCCATAAATATTTTCTTTTCTTTTCTTTTCAAAAAGAATCCAATTTACGTGATTTTACTTGAAGATAGTTGGTACAATCTAAAAATCACAGGTTTTCTTTACTTAGAAAATGAACAAAGACCAAATATAACAACAATGTAAGTATTCTAACTGTGAATGAACTGATAATGAATGATAAATGTAGTGTACATTTAATTTTTTAGACAAGTACTAAGGACTACCTCTTCCTTGAAAGAAAGAATAAATAAGAAACATTTGTTGAATTTTTCTTTCATAAATAAACAATTTAATACTCACGATAAAGCAATCTTTGCTGCAAGATACAATTTCATTACCAGAATGAGAGAACTTTGCACAAAGAACAGCATTTTCATGTTTTATATATGTTCTTAGACTCTCATCCTTTGGTGAGTCATCAAGAAACATACTTTTCCAGTTTCTCTGAAGATTTTGTGGCGAAGACACTCTCAAGTTATCTCCTGGAAACAGTAGTATTCCATTGTAAAAACAACAACAATAAACAAACAATTATACACAAATACAATATCAGTAAAATTTTTCTCTCACCTGATGTATTTAATTCAACACGATCATTTACTTCACAGTGATCTAAACACCAAAGTTTTAATGAACCATCATCTGAACAAGAGAGAAATCTTCGATTATCTGGATGACGCTCTATATGAGTCACTTTAAAATGATGCCCTCTGAAAGTCTTAATTGATCTAAGTGGATCTAGTCTCCAAAGCTAGAAATAAAACAAATAATTAATAAATATCATTTTATTACTTACAGTAAATATATTCAATTTCAGAAAATAATGCTATGCAAATTTTGGCCCTGAATCTCTTAATTGTTACTTTTAACAGTTACTGAGCTTCTACTATGAGGTATTTCAGGACATACATCAAAACAATATACATTCAACAATCATCTATCTCTGTTAAATTTTTTTTATTAACAAAACAATTTAGATTTATTCAGTAAAATAATAATAATATTAATAATAATAAAATAAATAAAAAAAGAAATAAAATAAAGAATAAAAAAGACAGGAAAAACCGTATGCAACATATGGGGGAGAAGAGAACCAATTAAAAATTAATCAATTAAATCTTATTAAAAATTATAAATTCAATCAAAATCAATTAAATTAATCAATTAAAAATTATGGCTACCTCTATTTTAGATTTCCACGTACACTTACAAAGAAGTCCACCCCTTTAGCAAATGTCACATTGCATGATAAATAAAGAAAAGAAATTCTTATCAAGAAAGGAGCCATAAGATAAGCTTAAAAAGAAGTCATTCCAGAAAAAGGGAAAAATATAATAATACAAAAATTTTCTTTAGTTTCAGTAGGATATGTTGAAGTTAAGAGTATTCACCAGTTGAACTCACTTTAATTATTCCATTACCATCAGAAACAAGAATTTTATTAATTTCATTTGTGAAGCAGGCGGATACTATTTCTTCGGGAAGTGGTAATGTTATTGGATGTGACACAAGATCTTGCTCTGACCTGTAAAGTCAAAATATCACTATAAAAGGTATGTACTTAGAAATTAAGAATAATAAAAATTATATTTACATCACTTACACAAATTCAAAATATAATTTCTGCTCCGATTTTTTTGCAATGCTATAAGCTTCATTGTACACCCAACTTCCTTTTCTCCAAAGCAGACCGCTTTGAACAATATCTAAATTTTGGTATTTGTACAGATCTAAACCATGCACTTGTATAAATTTGACGATATCACTGATTTTTTCATTGTTACCAATGTTCTGGAAAATAAAATTAAAAATTACTGGTCTTGCACATATCTTAAAAGAGGTTAATTAAGAGATTAAATGCCGTTGCAATTCAATATTAAACAGGCCTTTAAAATAAAAATAAAAATAATAATAATAATAATAATAGTAGTAATAATTATAATAGTAGTAGTAATAATAATAATAATAATAATAATAGTAGTAATAATAATAATAGTAGTAGTAGTAGTAGTAATAATAATAATAATAATAATAATAATAATAATAATAATAATAATAACAACAATAATATTAGTATTTATTGAGTCACATATACAATTCAAATCGCTTATGACGAGTCAATATGATGTCTTGGGTGGAGAGAGCGAAGTTACATTACTGTTTAGGAGCAAACAAGGGGCCATCTCAACATTTATTTATGGGATCAGGGATACTAAACAAAACCTGATCGAGGTGGGGTCATTGGCCCAGGGATTATACTACAATAATGCTACAGATCAATTAGATTATACAGTAGATAATTATTTTTAGAAGCAGATAATTTAACATTTCAAGATATTATTGTCATTTTAATGCTACTACTACTAATAATAATGATATTAATAATCTCATTACTATTAATATCATTATTATTTTTTTTGACCAGTTTTTTTCTTTTTTTTTCTTTCAATTTGTACACATAGTCCTACTGCAGCACCTAAATGTGTCTAGCGAATCCAGAGTGAAACAGTATTTTTTCTTTTTTTGTTTTTTGTCAGGCATTCTCCTTCTACTTCACAGGATGCAATATGCCAGTTCTTTTTTCTTTGCTTCAGCTTGAAACAGTTAACATGAAACAGAAAGTCTAATGGGATAAGAAATTCTTTTTTATTTATATTTTTTAAGGGAAATATTGTTGTTACTTGAATATTCCTCTACACTGTAGAACATGTTGTTAAGCAACACATATTGTTAAATAAAGTTATTAGGTACATATAATATGGTAATATAATAGATCACTTTTGCAGAAGACAATCAAAATTCACAGTTTTTATTTCAAATTAATTTTGAATTACAATTTCTTAAAGAGCATAGTTAGATTGATTGAAGTTTTGGGGCATATTAACTGCTAAGACCATTAGTTCCATTAGTGCAAAGAATGTTTTGGCCATAGCTTTTTGCCTGCGATTGAGATTTTGCACAAAATTATAGAAAACGTCTCGGACAGACAAGTTAATATGTGAAAAGTCGTACTAAGTAGACAGTGACTGTTTGGAGAGGAACATGTCCACCCCTCCAAATCCAATGTTATTTTGTACACATGAACATCAAAACAATGATTTCATATTTTTATCACATCACATTCCAAAGAAGTATTTCCATTAAGCCCAAGTTGATGGCATTCTCAGAATAGGTTCCAATTTCTGCATTCCTGCCAGACACGGGATAAGTGACTCAGTGGAGAGTAGGAAACAAAATAAAACAAACAGGCAGTAAGAAAATTTTGCCAGATTCTGACTGGGCTTTATAAAATATGACCAAGCATGTGGTTGTGATTACTTCTGTTCTGTTCATCCTAGATTCCATTTAGCAGGAAGTAAGTCTCGCAATGCACAGCATTCACATGAGGTCAAAGAAATGCATTACTTCATTAAGGGGATATACACAGAACAAATTATCCGACCTATCTGAGGAATTTATTATTAGATCTTCGAAATTGTTCAGATAAATTTCTTCATTAGGGGACTGTAGAAACTAAGTAAGTTGTATGATAAATCACAGCAATAATTTGAAGCAATACATTTTTGTTTGACATAAACACTATTAATCTGTCAAAATATCTGCCAAGAGTGGTTTAAGAAATTGTGAGCAAAGAGTTAATTATGTGCTTGCTCGAGTTATATTGTAATAATTCGTATTTTTCGAAAATGAGTAGTTCTGAATACACAAACAAAAATAAAAAAAGAAAGGCAACAAGGAGTTAGTCATATATAGCCAAAAAAATTTCAAAACAGTCAAGAGGAGTCTAAAAGAAATGGAGCTGGAGGTGATGATATTGTAGGCAATTGCCTAAGAATCAGCATGTGATGAAGAATAAGATGATTGACTAAGAAGCACCACCTTTTTTCAGTAGCCATATTTTGACCCAATTTGAAAGATTCCTGGTTCTTCTTTTATTTACTACAATGTACCCACATCTCATAAGTAATGCAATAGTTGCATCCATGTTCAACTTTTACAATGCACAAATTCAAACTCTTGAATAACTCTTCAATTTCAATGTTTAATCCCTCGTATTTTATAAAATGGCAAACGATCACCAATCACAGATAAATTTGCTAGATTAGAACAAATGATTGTTACAAACACATAAGTACAAGTAAACTGGACCAATTACACTGAGAAGAATTATTGACTCAATAAAGCTCTGCGTGAATACATCATGTACGATATAACAGAGATTTATCTTAGCTATTTATCAAACGATTATTTGGTGCAATTTATCACAACAATAAATTGTTCCATTATATCCCCCTATGGCATAGTTTCACAGAAAGAGAATTCCTGGAATATAACTTATTGGACAAACTCCTAATAAGATGTTTGTTCTGTTTAGAAATAAAATATTAGTTATAAGAAAATGTGTAAGAAATACATAGTGATAGGTAGAATATGTAAGCACGTAATCATACTAAAATATGTCAAATCGACACAATTTTAATACATGTGAAGTGTCTGCAAATTCTAAAAAAATTATTGAATGCATGTCCCTTGTATCGTAAAAATATTATTTACCTTCCTCAATGTTCCCTTCGATTCCCCATCAACTAATTTTAGAGACACTCCAACAAAGTTTGAAAGAAAACTCACCTAAACTCTCAATTCCTGAACAAGAAATAACAACTTGTGTTCGGTTTTTATTAAATAATATAAAATTTAAATTTAACAACAAAATTTATTCCCAGAAACAAGGATGTCCTATCAGAGGCCCATTAAGCTCCCTTTTCTCTGAAATGGTGATGTGTTATATTGAACATAACATTTTGGCTCAGATTAGTACAATTCTTTATATCACGTATGTGCACGATACATATATTATTATAGAAGAGGAGCATTCCATTAATCTTCAAACTCTTTCATACATTTGATAAATCTATCCAATTTGAATTAGAAAAAGAAGAACATAATCGGATTAACTTCCTTGATGTCAAAATTTTTAGACAAAATTACAAATTAGAAACCAATTGGTATACTAAACCTGCCCTTTCAGCGATTATATTAGGTTTTTTATCTGGTCATCCAACCTGGATGAAAATTGGAGTTATCTATAATTTAGTTGATAGAAGTTAAATTATCACATCTTCAGTTCCATACTGATAATCTTTATACAGTTAAACAAATCCTTTTGGACAACCAGAGAAATTCATTCTTAAATACACAGAGAAATTCATTCTTAAATATATTAACAAACGGGTCAATAAAATTTTAAGAGTTCCGCCCAACAATGTAGCCAACCATCTATTCTAACTCCTCCTAACATAATTATTAAATTTGTAAAAACACTGACCACACCATTACAACAGTTAAAATCAAAGTACAATATCAACATTAAATAAACAAAAATTAAGAAAAAGAATCTCATAAGAAAAGTTAAAGATAAAATACTTGAACACGATATGATAGATAGAGTTTATGCACTTCAATGCAATGATTGTCAGTCGAATTACATTGGTCAAACAAAGAGAAGAATTAAACAGAAAATAACAGAACATAGAAAAAATATTAATGAGAATACAAATAGACAAGATTCAATATCCCAACAAAGAATTAATTTAAATAATTCAATAAATTTTGATCAGTTTCGTACTTTAGTGCTAGAACCCAACAGAAATAAATGATTAATACTTGAAATATTAAATATAAAACCTCAAATACCATGAATACAGTTATAGAATCCAATCAGTTTACAAAAATTTATGACGATATACTAAATATTTTTGACAATAACACCTCCCTTTTTTAACATTAGGAATTTCTGAATTCACTTTCAACTATCTCCTAATTTCCGCTTTTCCTCCACTATAAACAACACAATTTAAACAATCAACTGTAAAGTTGCTAGACAGCACTTCACCACTTATTTTAATATTCAGATATGTTTCTCTATAATTTATAAATATTGTATATAGTTGTATATATTAGTTTTAGTTTTCTGTTATAACAGGTGAGCTTTCTTTGAATTGGGTACAGTAGAAATTTATTTGTTACATTTGTAATTTTGTGTAAATCATTTTGGCTTCATGAAAAATTTTATAATTAAATTTTTAGTTGTACCTGATGAGGGAGACAAAACAGTCTCCGAAACGTCGTAACACAAGTGAATAAAATTATTATGAGTAAAAATTTTTGGCACTTATCATTGCGGTTGTCCATAATTTAAAATAAGGGACTAAACAACAATAAAAATATTATTTACAAACAAATCTCTTCCTTAGTTATATATAAAACTCTACGTTTTTATAAACAATTCTTCACTTTAGTAATTACCTAATTTATAAATAATTCAGTAGTAAATAAGTCATAAAACATCAATTTCATTTGTATTTTAAGTTGCACTGAACGATTGTTACTGACTATTTCTTACCCCATTGATGATTTGATTTTCATATTTTCTGAAATCTCCTATCACATCTGCTGGGCCAGTTGCTCTAAGTTTGGACTGAATAAATTTTAAGTCTAGAAAAATTGTTTCAAACAACTGCCATTCTCCTGCATGGTACATATGATACCCTATGTATGAATATATGTAGTTATCATTTGGTAATGTTGCATATTGTCCACTGCACTTTTTATGGTATCTTCTCAAGAGTTTTCTGTGAAGTTCCTGGAAAATTACACAATACAAGAAATCATTACAAGAAAATATCATATTTGAGCTTGTAAGAAATTTAAAAACTATCTAAATACTAATAAAATTCTACAAACCATTTGAGGCCAACAGCACATTATCCCTAAATCCAGTGATTAAAGTAAAAGGCTGATAAATATTTGTAGATTTCAGAATAGGTTATCATATCTGAGTTTTACTTATGACACAAATGTAAAACTTTTAGAGATAAATATTTTCTCAATATGATACATGATGTAAACTGAAGTTTTTTAAAAAAACAACAACATGGCTTAGGACTTTTTTGTAATGATAACCTCATTTTATCTACATGATGTTGTTACGATAGTTTTGTTAGTTCCATTGAAGAACACAGCATCAATAGATCCCTAATAGCAGATGGTTTAATTTTTTTAAAAACTACTCTGCTTGGAATCAGGTCTTTGCAATCCCTCACTCCTTTCAAAACATCAATGCTGGAGAGGATGTTATCATCCCTCCCATTTACCTGGCTATCTCAAGGACCTTGTAGGCTCATCCACACCTGTTTTCTAGTTTTTTGTTATGCTAAGATACTATGAAAACTCATCTCAGCTCTGATCTCTGGGAGGAGAGAGGGACTGGAATTAGGGGTGAAAAAAATTGATGTTTATAAAACATCAATATTTTCAACCAGAAACATATATAAACATATATTAACGGCAATGCTTTCTTCACATTCATATACTTTCCCAGATACATCAATATTTTACAAAAATATTCACACCATATAAATAAAAAAACCCAAATTTTTGTTTTGTTTTTTGTTTGTGCAACTAATTTCAAAACTAACAGTTACTGACATCTTTCACTGTTGTCAACACCAGATGGCATGAAACTATTCACAATTCACATGGTTTCTCGAGTGTTGCCAGTTTAAGGGATTTGATTTGGATGTTTATTCCATTTTATACGTAAATTTGGGGAAGGGAAAGAGATTTCTTTGTGGTTAGTTTTGGGGGTTTATTCAGGATGTCTGGCTTAATTATAATTTTAACAAAATATTTATTGTTTCAATTGTTCAAAAGTAAAAGACTGACGAAACTGAATAAAATGGTGAAATGATGAATACTAGGTGAAAATATCCTTATCCTACATAGGAATCAAACCCTCAGCCTTAAGGTGTAACACAAACTTACAGGCTCATTCTCAAAGCTTCAGAAATGTTTATATCACAAAATACTAATAGGTTAATTAACACTTACCCTATATTCTTCACATGATAACTGATCTTTGAGATAGTCGAGGAGGAGATCATGAATACCATATACACTGCTACAAAACTGTTCGTTCCATTTGCATACTGCTAAAGACTTCTTTGTAAAATAAGCCATTATATCTTCAACCTCATACTTGGTTTCCACCTCCCACAAAGTTTGAAGAACCTATAAATTTAGATTGGAAAAGTTAAGTACTTGGTGCATTCAGCCCATGGAACAGGAGCTTCTAGGTAGCAAAAATGTAGCCTCAATTGTGTACATTTTCTTGAGCTCTATGGAGTATTAGTGGGGAATATAATTATTTAAATAATCTTTCTCCACATTTCTGCAGCAGTTAGTTCCTTGACAATAGGCATAATAAGGGAATTAATAGCCAAAACCTATAGCTCATTTGCTATGACTAATGGTTTAATTCGTTGACAGCAAATATTGTCTTTTAACAGAACTTGTCCAAAATCTCGTTGGAACAAGTATTCATAAATCAACTGAATAGAATAGAGCTACAGTTGGGATTCCAGAGTTCAAGAAAATGAGCACAGATTGCACTTCTCCCCCCATAGAAGCACAATGTTTTCCACACAAGGTTTTTAACCATTTCTCAATGTTGAATTAAATAACTAAGCGGAAGAGGAATAAGATTATAACCATGATTATAAGGATATTTTAAAAATAAGAAAGATATTTTTAACCTGAAATTCAGAAAGGTAAACAAATCATGTAGAACATGGAATGCAGTTATTCTGACAAACACGACTGTACAAAAATGATGTAACTTCAAAAACACACATTGTTTACTTTCCTATATTTTAATTGATTAGTTATTGTTATTTAATTGATATTGAGTTTACATTTTTATTATTGCTTCTAAGAGGATTTGCAGCAATTATAAAGATACAATAATGAAACAAAAATAGTGTTGTAAAAAGCAATTCACAAGTAAGTGTCTCTTTAGAAGATTAAAGTAAGTATGATTATCATGATGGTGCCGGTACAGTAGAGTCTAGTGCCAGAAGTGATGGTGAAACATGTGATCTTTGGTAAGGCAATGGCAAAGTTAAAAATGTATTGTCGCTCTTTTCACTGTTAAAAGGAGTTCAATCATATCTAACAAGCCTACATATTTTATTCTCAGCATGTTAAATTTGAAACAAAAATGATTAGCAGCTAAGTTCTGTAAATATAAGAGCAAGCATTTGAAGTGAATATAAATTTGATTCCTATGATATTGATAATTTTATTTGTGGTAGGATAGACAATATTTAAATATGAAATCAAAGAGTTAAGTCATGGTGGTAACATTATAGGGGCCCGGGGCCAATGCAACTATTTTTTCTCTTTAATATATACAAGTTTTAACACTACAATTACATAAACCACTGTATCATTTAAATTATTTTTGACAAAATAGACCACTTACTTCTCTTAATTAGAAATTAAAATTTAATGTTTGTAAGTGTTTGCAATAACTCTGTGTAGGATTAATCATTATACATTTTAAATTTTAATTTCACAAAACAGTTCCTACCCTAATTACCTCTGCAGATCTTTATCTGAATTTAATTAGTCAATAATTTATACAAATGTTTAAAATTACCTCTGGTTTGATATTAACATCTTCCATAAATAAAGCAAAATCTATATAAAGTTCCTTTTTATTTGAAGGCAAACTATTAATGGACATGCTAATAGTTTGAAACAGTCCATTTTGTTCCAAGAAACTGTTTCTTCTAACTTTTCTGAAATAAAGAAATTATATTTTTTAATTAAGAACACAAACAAATATAGACATCAGCATATTTAAAACTAGTATAAGGGTATTCATTTTGAAAGAAATTTGAGCTTTCTAATCAACCAAATTTCATTATTTTTGTTTTAACTGTAAGGTATGAGTCCCATATTTGATATTAGTTGCTATTATTAACTAGAATTATACATTTTTATATATTTAAATTTATTTTAAAATTTCTACACTTGAACTTTTGGAATTGTTTGTGATTTCCAATACTTACACTATTGCCCTGAACCTAGTAAATGAAATGAAAACTGAATGTAAGTGGAGAGAGCTAGTCTACAAATAAATGGAAAGATAAGATGATAATAGTAATAGTAACAGTAACAGTAATAGCAACAACGATGACAACAACGACAACAACAACAATAAGAGCCTGTGTGGTGTCTGGGTGTTTTTGTAGAATAGCGCCACGGGATCTCCCACTGTCGTAAAAGGCGAGTAATAGGAACAGATGCACGCTGTCCCTCCATCTAAAATTGATCTATCTTTCGTTCTCCATTCCTTTTTACGCTGTTCCCTCTATTCCATTGGCAAAATTATACCTTAACTGTCCCTTACATGTTTTCTCAATTGTTTTCAAAATATTCCCTATCCATTTCACCCTTTTTTGACTTTTCCCGAAGACCAACCCTATGTGATCTGAAAGAACAACTACGGCACGTGGGGGACGGACAAAGGCACTATTACGTGTTGGCTGTCAGGGCAATGGCAGACTGCCAAATCAGATGCCTGTCTGTTCTTCTGGAAGCTGGGACCTGTGCCCCTGACTTCCAGGAAAGGGATCGGTGAACCAACTGGCAAACGGAGATGAATCAGCATCCGAAATAGCCATTCCTGTTCTTTTGTGGGCTGTAGGTGCCTGAGCTACGACCTTAGAGCTTGAGTGATGGTGCGCAGATGGGGCTCTGGTTCAGAGGCGAGAGGTGTTTTCACTCTTGACTCTTACCCGGTCTGCCGGTGGAGAAGCAGTTATGAGAAGTCAAAGGATTTCGTGATGCATGCGATCCGCACTTGCAAGGCGGCGCTGCGATTTCTGGCACAGGGACTGCAGTGCTACCTGTGCCAGTGGAGAGCAGTGGAGCCTTCTCATAACATCCGGGAAGGTGTGGCGCTGTACCACTTATGGCGACCACAATACAAACAAATACCGGGGGTCGCAGCTTGGGTGAGACAACAGTTCACCCTGTCCAACCTCAGAGCAAATGCCAGCACATGAAATGGACTAAGGAGTGAAATATCTCCATTATGCATGCATAGTTTTTGGCTACCAGACTTGAAGCGAACATGGAAGGATACAGGGCCCAATTTCACGAAGAATGGTTAAAGCTGCATCTGAACATACCGATATCCAAGCAGAGAGTGTGCGACCAGCAGCACACCATCATTGTAAGGAACTTTCTCTCAGCTGCAGAGATATATATCATTAGGGAGAATGTAAGAGCATCCTTGGGCATTGAGATAGCAATGAGACTGATGAAGGAAGAAATAATGTAGACTCACAGGCTAATCAGGAATGGTCTGTGGAGATGAATTCTGATGAATCCTGCCTCCCTGTGCCTGAGCAATTCTCTTGAACTGCACATTATAAAGCCATGAAGACATACTATCATGATATTCCATTATCCTGCAGACAATGGATCCCACGAGTGGGATACGACCCACATACAAATGTGGTGATGGAAGCTGTCAATAACTTGCTGAAGGTGGATGTAGAACAATCGACAGCGCTTGAGGAAGTGGTAAGCTATGTGTCTTGTGCAGCCCTTACTGTTGTACAAGGTCTTGGTAAACCTGTACAGGAAAAATTAAAAACATCAAAAGACACAGGACAGTCCGCTAAGCCCACTAAGCCCCCGTGGTTGAAGCATATTCAACGCAAAACTGAAAGCTTCCGGCGGGACATACGCACTCTGACAGCCTTCTTAAAAGCTCCTGAGAATGCAACTAGAAAGGTCTCCAATGCAGTGAAGGTGATGGGACGAAAGATGAGATTAGGAAGAATCCAGACGAATTTCGAGGAGAGGCTCCAAGACAGACTTGAGTATCTGAAACAGCGTGTTGCAGCCCTTAGGTGACGTATAAGAAGATACCATAAAGCAAATGAAATGAAGACAACAGAATATTTTATATTCATGGGACCAGAAGAAATTTTCAGGCAACTCAGTGATCAAAGAAAGTTGCCTGAAACAGTTCTTAAAAGCTCTGAGATGGAGGAATATTGGAGTAATACATAGAGCATCCCCAAGACCCATGATGATGGAGCTTACTGGTAAGCAGAACAGGAAGGGAAGTATTGTGATATACCTCAGATGTGCTCTCCTAATATTACACAGAGAGATATCTTCAATTCAGTCAGAAAGATGCAGTATTGGAAAGCGCCAGGTACTGATAGGATTCAAAACCTTTGGTGGAAGTATTTCCCTTGTACTCATACGGTTCTGGCCAGGTGGTTATAAGCTGAATTCAATGATCCAACAATCATTCCGGCGTCTTTTACTGAAGGAGTTACATTTATGATAAGCAAGTCTCCCAGTAACTATCAACCTATCACATGTCTCCCCACAGTATATAAGATTTTTACATCTGTGCTAGCCAGTATGCTGTATACCCATCTAAAGGCCAATAATCTTCTAGCACCAGAGCAAAATGGTTGCAGAAAGGGTGCTCAAGGTTGCAAAGAATTATTGATAATAGACAGTGTTGTAGTCAATCAAGTTAAAAAGAGACACTGCAACATTTCTGTAAGATGGATTGATTATACCAAGGCCTTCAACTCGATACTTCATTCATGGCTTTTGTATGTCCTTCGCCTCTACAAAGTAAATTACCAGTATGTGAACTTAATACAACACTGCATGGTAACTTGGCGTACAAAGATAAAAGTCTCATTTGCTGGAGGCAGCTATACCACCAAGGAACTGAGGATCAAACAACGAATTTTTCACGGAAATAGTTTTAGTTCCTTATGGTTCTCGCTAGCTTTAAACCCTTTCAGCAGAATGTTAAGAGGTTCAGGGATGGGATATGAAATCATCAAAAATCCCCATATCCTCATTAAACATGTTCTACATGGACAATCTGAAGTTGTACGCCAGAGATAAGAACCAGCTTTCCTCGTTGCTTGAACTTTTTAAGACCTTTAGCGACTATTTGTATGGAGTTGGCATTGATAAATGCGCTGCAGTGCACGTGAAAAGAGGGAAAATCCTTGATCCTGACAAACTTATCCTGATGTGTGGCACAAATATCTAAGAACTTGGGCAAGAGGATACCTATAAATATTTAGGCCTGCACCAACTTTTGAGCATAAGTGAATCACAGATGAGGTGTGATATTAAAAATACAGTTGTTCAGAGAGTCTCAAAAATCTGTAAAACTCTTTTAAATGGAAAGAACCTCATATCAGCTATCAACACTTGGGCAGTACCTGTCGCTATATATTCATTTGGTGTTCTTCACTGGACAACAACTGTACTGCAGGAGGTTAATTGAAAAGTTACGACCACTCTTACCAAGTATCGAATGCACCATCCCAACAGTTCAATGGCAAGACTATACTTACCTCAGAACGAAGGAGGTAGAGGTCTTCTGGATTTTGAGTACTTGTGTGCGAAGCAAATCAACAATCTTCGCAAATACTTCCTTCAGAAATGCATGAAGCATTTCCAACAGTCATGCATGAAACAATTTGTGCCACGGACAAGAATTTTACCCCACTGAACCTGAATCAAGCAGACTCTGAAAGACTATGTATCAAGAAAGAAGATAGACTGAGTGGACCCAGAAGTGCTTGCACAGCAGGTATCCTGCTGAGCTGAAAAGAAATGCTGTGAATATGGAATTGTCAGTCTCCTGGCTAAAAAAAGTCTGGCCTCTTTGCTGAGACAGAAGTGTTCGTCATTTTTATTCAGGACGAAGTAACCTCCACTCGCAATTACCAAAGGTATGTAATTGGGAATATGAGTGTAGAAGACCGCTGCCGCCTTTGCAATCAACCCTGCAAAACCCTCCAACACATCATAGGCAGGTGCTCTGCTTTGGCGCAAACAGAATAACTGAGTTGGCACAACGACGTTGCTGTGGTTGTCCATCAGGCCCTGGCTGCAAAGTCAGAGATGATATAGATAGAGGTCCCATACTACAAGTTCAAGTCGGATTCAGTTTTGGAGTCGAAACGGGGAAGCTCTTTTGGAATGTAGCAGTCACTACTGATCGCAGGGTCGAAGCGAACAGACCTGGCATAATATGGATTAACAAGGCTTCACGGAAAGGGATTATAGTCGACAGCTATCCCTTTAGACCAAAATATAGTTGCCTCTGTTGCCAAGAAGCGAAAATATCAGACCTTGGCTATTGAACTGAGCGAGATGTGGCGGTCAGTATCTGTTGAAGTAGTCCCTGTGGTTATCTCTGCAAATTGACTGATCTCCGAAGAACTAATTTCATCATCTGCAAGGCTTGGACTTAAGAACTGGCACATTCAAACAATGCAAAACGCTGTTCTCCTGGGTACTGCACGCATCGTTAGGAAGTTTTTATTGATATAACTGACCACCCGAGTTTGCAAGCGAAGCAGGCACCTTGGTTCTATAAAGGTCCTGGAGTCTGCTATAGGAACCTTGCTACATGAGAGACTTGAAGAAAATAATAATAATAATAATAATAATAATAATAATAATAATAATAATAATAATAACAACAATAATAATAATAGTAATAGTAGTAGTAGTAAGACTCTAGAGCATCTCAACCTTAGATTGCAGTATGAAGTTCAACTGATTCTTCCTATGTTTCTTCCATACAACTCTCCTTGTCTAACAATGTCATTGTCGCCATTACAAAAACAAAAGAAGAAGAAAATAAGATAATTTTTGGAAGTAAATGATTTGAACAGCAGAGTACTAAGAAAACATAGTTTTCTTAGTACTCTGCTGTTCAAATTGGTCACTTCCAAAAATTCTAATTTTTAAAAAAAATTTTAGCAGATCATTTGGATTACCACTTAACAGGTGAGTGTTTTTTTTGTTTTTTTTTTCATATAATACAATGGTTTGCTGCACTACACTGGCCTGAAGGCACGAACGTTCAAAAGCATTCACCTTCTGCGGATAGCTAGCATATATCTGGCATTAGTTTTGATCATTTACACTCTACTGCAATCCAAGACTGAGACACTTTATAGAATGATTTTCTTTTCTAATCATTATCATACCCAAAATTTTTTTGAGACAGCATGTTAACATAGTAATCCCAGCGTCCACCTGTACGTATTACATCATTTTTATTGTCTTCTAGCTGTCCAGCAATTAGGGCCAAGATCATAGGAGATCCTAGAAATATAATAGCATGCAACATTTCAGCTAATGAAATATTTTGCGTTAATAAACAAACAAAAATTTCTACAAGAACCAATATTATCCAAGAATTAAATAATGTGATAGAGAATACATTGAAACATATTTTAACAAAATGCAAATTGAAGATTTCACATCTATGAACCAATATACTTATATTATTGTTATGTTAGAAGGATGTTCATATTTTGTTTTAAAACCAAATTTGAAAAATATGATCATTTGAAGTAGTATTGCCAAAGGCAGTATCAGAGTATTTTGAAACAATGTATAAATTATATAAATCATTAAATATTTATCCTTTCTTTTCACTAATTAAAACAATATTTCTATACATGATCAAAATAAAAGAACAAGAACATATTAATACTGCAATTCACTACATTTTAGCACATTAGGAAGTAGTTTGTCAAGTAAGTTAAATATACTACAAAAAACTAAATTGCAAATTTTCTAATATTTCAATACATTCCTCTGAGATTGACTTTCTTTGTTTGCAATATTAATGAATACTGCCATAAAGATTCTCATTTTTATCAATTGGTAATATTTCAATAGCATGATTAGATTGATAGGTCATTCCATTCCATAAACATCATCATAACTTTGTACAAAATTCTTATTTGACCCATTTTGGAATATGCTTCTGTTATATAGATATCTTACACACAAAACGTCATTGATCTCTCTGAAAAAATCCAACACAAACTCTTACATAATCTTGCTTTTAAAAATGGATCTCCTATGCCTAGATTCAATCACAACCTATCTCATCTTTAAACTAAATTTGGGCTTCAACACTTCCATGTATGAAGGAAATTTAATGACATGATTTTCTTCTACAAGTTATCACATGATCTGATTGATTCTTCAGAGCATTGCATTTTATACCTTGGTTGTTACCCTTGTGAAGAGAACACGAAATGCTGTTTGTTTCTGGGTAAATAATTCCACAACAAATTTCAGGTACAATAGATTTAAAAGGCTGGCCACCACTGCACATAGTTTATTTAAGTTTGGATCAACAGACTCCTTTGATACAAATTTTGAAGCATTTTATAAGAGTCTCAGGCAAATCATTTAACATTTACTGTAAGGGATTTTATACTTTTTTGCACAAATTTAATGTTCACTTCCTTACTTCATACTTGGTTATGTGGATATTATTGTTCAAAAGGGTGCTTTCTATACACATGCTTGTAAACTATACAACTAAGCTAATTTCTTTTGTAATTTTCACGTGTATGTTCAGGACAATAATAAATAAAATTTCTGCAATGTTAAAAAGCAAATCTTTTCCTGCATCTTCATTAAATTTTCTTGAGCATTGTTTGACTTTTTTGTTATAAGGTCGATAATTTTTCAATTGACTTCAAAAGGTACATGCTTTCTTCCTACAGAGATCATTAAAACGGAGATAAATGTGTTAAAATGGCTAGTGCTCATATGCAAACACTCTCCAGGAAGTTGGTCATACAAAGGAGGGATCAAAAACGAAAAAGATTTGAATAAAGTTTTATTAAAATGTGGGATGGGCAATTTCTTTGACAATCTTTTGGAAAATTACATTCAACCAGTAGCAGCTCATGAACAAATTTGCACAGAACACAAAACAGATTACTAAACAGTGGCACATCCCGGTCAGACAGCATGGCGCCATACCCTACCTAAAACCAATTTTTTAGTAATTTTATTCAATTTATTCAAAACCGTATCACCGTATCACTGACATGATTACATTCCAAATCATTATTTTCATGACGCAGACATGATATCAAGATATTAAGATTCTAAAAATGTGTTGCTCTGATAATAATTTAAAAATACGATCAAAATATTTTTCCAGGTACTTAAAGATTTACTGAATTACATATGTGAACATTTGACATTTCATATCTTCATATAGCTTTTGATAAATTTTTAATATCAAAATATCCACCTCCTTTCCCAGAACTCTCCTTAATTGACAATAAAAGACATGGCCAACAATAAAGCTTAGCTTTAACTTCATTATCTGTTAGCCATATTGTGAACAAAAGATTGAATTTTCTTCAATTTTTATTGCCAGCATGATGTACAACATACTCAACATATGAGTAGGTCGATCATTGTCCAAAATTTGTCTCTTTTCGACATTGTTTAGAAGAGAAAATGATGTACATAGTAGTTCATTCATTCAGTAGTTCAATATTAATGTAAAATCAGATTTTAATATAAAAAATCAAGTAATGCTAATAACCTGCACCATACTAATTTAAAATGAAAAAAAAAATCTTCCTAAATAATAAACACTTTCTCTGCTTGTTAACTAGTCAACAAAACAATAAACACATGTGCTATGTAGCTTGCATGTGAGTGGAAAGTGGAGTCTTCAGAGCAGGCAGGCAGCAAGTGATTTCATTGTTCTATCCACAAAGCACATGCATCAAGTTGCTCTACAGAATACGGTATGAAGGTAGGCAGTGTCCAGGTGTGTCTGCCCTGAGAGGTGCAAGTGGGTGCAAGTTTCTGCGGAAAGAGACGCAAACGATTTGCATGGTGCATGGGTTGTTAGAAAATGCTTGAAATGGAACTATGCTCGGGCCAAGATAATGAAATTCTTTTTATACATTTTCAGATGATACAACACATTATCATTTTAAGAGTCATTCAATTTTTTTCATTATTATGAAATGTATTAAACAAGTACATATTCATCAGAGTTAGGCAGTGCCTAACTTCACTACCCCAAGGAGCCGCCACTGCATTCTACCACACCAAAGTGAAGGAAGATTTATTTATGGAAAGAAGAAAGTACTTGCATAATTTTCATTAAACTATGATTTTGGTTTGCTGATCAGAGAAAATACAATATTAACACATATCCAAAATCAGCTTCCAGCCTGTGTATTTTGTTTAAATCCAAAGTTACGAACTTTGAACAAGTCATTGTTTGGGAATTACATTCTATGAACATTGAATATATGACGTATCATAAATGGCTGCATGCATGCCTCTCTGTGGCCAGGTACCGCGAATTTTTCTTTTTCTTCATATCAGAGCCCCTTTTATCACATACTGAGCTGCAGCATCTGGAGTAAATTTCAAGCATTTTGTCATCCATTTGTCTTTGGTGCTGTGGACCGTCTTGCCTGATTCGGAGGCACGTGAGCTGTCAAAATGACAGATCCACTGTGGAGCCCTGTGAGTCCCTCCCATTGATGACAAAGGAGTTTCCAGGAAGTTGATAGGCAAGGCACAAGACAAGTCTTTGTTATCAAATTCAAATTAAAACCACCTGTAAACCTAATGATGTATTTTTATTTTTTGGGTTAAGGATTAATCACCTATTTAATAAAGAATGGGAAAAAACCAACAACCCTGATTTATGCCAAAACTCATTTACTTCAGATCAATGAAATTCCGTGACTTTTTCCAGTATTCCAGAAGAGGCCATTCCGTTAAATAGTTTTATCAAGAGAAGCAACCTTGTCATTCAGACTTTTCAATTGATCTGGAGAATCTTGAGATACATCATCTGATTCACTGGATTATCCTACGAGAATTGGACTTAACCTCAATACAGATGTTTGCATTTCGAAATACCCATTGGCGATGCAGCGTCCAGGAAAACGATTTTCATTAGTGTCAAGTTTCAGTAGTCTGCTTTATAGCTTTGCTAATTCCAATGTCAAACTACTGGGGCAGTTTGGACTAAATGAATTAATAGTTCCCTTCACCTTCTTGAAATCATCCTGCTTATGTTTAGTTGCTATTTCATTTCCAGATCTGGCAACATTATAAAGCAAGAATTCCCAACCTTTTTCTTTCATCCACCTTTTTAAAAGACCCTGTTACCTCCATTCACCCCCATATGTTATTGTCTATAATATAGAGCATACACAATCATAACGCATTTCATAATAATTTTAAATGTCTTAAAGATAACAATTTCATACACCAATATTTTGGTAAATATCTAGATTTTCAATCAAAGACCCTTCTGCCTTGAGCAGCTGAGTTTCTAATTTCATTGTTGTGCAATGATTGTGTTGTTGTTGAGCATTTTTAACTGGTCTTGATATTTCTTCAATGCATATTTTAGGAAGTATTTTCTTTGCAATATAGTATCATTGTGTATAAATAGTTATAAATTGTAGGGTTTTCTAAACATCCTAAGCAGTTTCATTGCTATGTTTTCTTACGCTCCGGCACAGAAGGTCGAAATGGGGATCATATCTGCATATTCAACTGTAGACTCCCAAATCATCCCCTTGACCATCATTGGCCCCTGAATTGTTTGATTGATTGCCAGTGATTCTGGGCAAGTCAACTTCTGGGGACATTGCTCCCGTAAGTGTAGTGCCTGTTTTTGCTTGGAAAGTGGCAGTGGTCTTCCCCCGCTGTACGGCAAGATCCAGCGCCATCCTACCATTGGCTAGTGGAGTTTTCCCCAACCAGCAGGCATCACCCCACCTGAGACAAGCTCTAAGCTCCTAACCGGTCTTCTGGCGTGTGTGGTAGTGTGGTGCATGATTGTGTAAGGGGTGAGAGCAGAACAAGGAAGAGATAAGAAAGACTGCACGTGGTCTATTTGTAAGGGTACTGCTCTGGCATTCACCGGACGTTCATCAGCAAAACCAAAGACAACTACCGATTAGAGCAACAAGCCACTAGAATACTCCTCCAGACAGCAAATTACTTTGACCTTACTGACAAGCTAGTGTCAGAAATCCTGCCGTGTTCGGGACTCAAACCTAGGATCTTCCAGTCCGAGGGACCACTGCGACATCAGTTGATGTCCTGAGCCATCTCTCCCTGCAATCCCCTTGGAAATTTCATTGATACACAGGGGGTTGATTTTGACCCTGTTAGGAACTAGGGATGTGACATTGTTGTCGAGGTTTTTAAAATATCAATTTTTTAACATCGATGTATTAATGCTGATGTATTTTTGATATCAATGTTGTTGCTTTTTATGATGTTTTGTTTCCAAAAGAAAGAAAAATTCCCATGATCCCAACACTGTGAAAGTTAAAATATGAAATAATAACCGATAGTAACACTGTTAGTTTATATGTTAGAACCATTGACCAAACTCTCTCACTCGAGATAAACTCCATGCCATTGTATTCCCTCCTTTTTTGTATTCATTCTGCACATTGAGATTTGGGTAACAAATAACCTGTGGGGTCTCTGTTCTTATCATACCCTTATTTGCCAAATTGATAAAACATGAACACAAATTAAATTCTAATTAACATGAATTTAATATTAAAGATTACTAAAGCAGTCTAAAAAATAGATGGTTTTTTGTCTATGTATTTTTAACATTGAGATGAACATTTTTAACATCGATGTTTTGTTATCAATTTTGCATCTCTATTAGGAAACCCTGTTATAAAGTATCACATTTTTCATTCTTACTTGTCGATCAGTGACCTCAGCTCAGATGACTACATGAGCGAAGGTGGAGGTACTCAGCTGAGTCATTTCAAACTGACAGAAAAATTCCCTACTTCCAAATAAAATATTTTCAATAGCTTTATTTTTTATTTTAATACTAGGTTGGATTTCAGTAAGCCATGAACAGCATTCCTAGCTCACAGTCATCACAGAAAAGTTTAACTCTCCTTCCACCCCTCAACTTAAGCGATATGTTGCTCTGTGGGAGTAATTTTGGCACAGGAATAACGGAATTCTTCACCTCAGCTATCACATGCGGCAAATTTATCTTTATTTCTTGGAAGTTCATAGATAAAACAATTACAAGGGCATGTTTGGACATCATCACTAATTGGCATGATGTGAAAGAAGATCACAAATATATTTCAAGACTACGATGATGTTTGAGAGAAGAAAAAATCTCTCTTAAAGATCAAACTCTACTAACTGTGAAATAAAACTCTTGCCTCCATGAGCAATGTCCAATTTCCTTATAGAACCCTCCCAAAATAGAAGGACTTTCTTACGATAAAATTCACAATAAAAAGTTTTTCACATAAAGGACATTAACATAACTCCAACATAAAATCATCTTAATCACAGACTACCATTATTTCCTGAAGAACTTAACTACAGTTCGGTAACTTAACTCTTTCAAATCCAGTTCAAATGATGCAACAATAAACGTAATAAACCTCTGCATTATTTGCACTCTATGTTCTCTAATTCAGTGATGCTTAATTGTATTTAGAAAACTATATGACTAATTTTAGCAAGAATGTTAAAATTGTGTTTAAAAAAGTGGAACTTTGAGAAATTTGATTTTTTAAACTGATAATGTTTCTTCTCACAAGACAAATTAAATAACAATTGAAGTAATAGTACATACTTGCCTTGACTAAGACTATGAATAACTTTAGCTTGTGGAGGTAACTGGTCCATGGGAACATCAATACTTCGAGCTAAAAGTGACAAACTTTCATTTTCTGTGAGGCCATCATTTACCTGTTTTGGAAAATAAAAATCATAAACCTTAAATGCAAATTTTCTTAAAACAAAACACTTTCAAAAAATCTGTACTCCATAAAATAAGATTAAATATAATGAATTCTACCAAATCTCAGAAAATACATCTTCATTTTATTCAAAACACATTTCAGAACAAATAAAGAAATTGAAAGTTCCACTTGACCCAAAATTCTTTCATATCAAAATTCTCCCCAGAATTTTTATAATACAATAATTTTTTACCATTAAGAAGTTCTTGATCCTAGCTAAATTAACCTAGCATTTCTGGGGTATATATTTATCATGATTATTAGTTGCACACAAAAAGGAACAAATTCTATTAGTGCTGCGTCCCTGCTCTGCTCTGGCCCATCACCCTGCTGTGGCCTTCTCCATCTTGCTAACACCTGCTCTGCATTGCATGTCTCTCCCCGAGCCACCTGGCCCCAACAATGTCCTACATGCATCACCCTACCTCATCCCACACTGCCCTGACATGATCACTAAGATCATCATTGCTATGGGCAGCAAAAAACATTAAATTTGTTGTTGAATACTTTAGGCAATATTCCATGAACAAACTTATTTTTAACCCCAGCACAGGGATGAATTTTGAAAAATCCTTACCTTAATCAGATTGTATCGACCCTTTACTTTATTCATTACATGCAGATCTTTGGTAGTAATCATTACTTTACATCCCACATCAAATGCTTCCAACTGTTTATCTGAAGTAACATCGTCCAAAATTAGAAGTCCTTCTCGAAATGCTGCTTCCAAAAAACATCGTTTTAACTCTTCCTTAGCTCTTTCTTTGTTGTTAAGGAGCTTGTCAACAAGGTGAGCACTGATGTGAGGTAGGCTTAATTCTAAGCGAGTCAATAACTGAATCATATGCGATAATAATTCCTCTTCGTCATATTCTCCTAATGTCAGCCAGTACACAGAACCCTGTAATGTTACCATAATTACTCTTTCAGCAATGAAAATTTACCTTTGGTGATAGGCTACCCATCTCTTGAATCCTTACTTGTCTGCTTCACCCAAACTACTATTAAATATTTACTTTGATATAGGTTATAACTAACTGGATCTCAAAAAGGAACACATATCCTTGTTCATGATATTCAAACTTGTAATTCTTCACAGCTAAATGGTTAAAATATTATTTATTTATTATATTTAATTAATAGTATTTATAATGATCTAGATATCCATTAATATAATTATCAATAATTAAACTATTTCTAGAAAACATTCTAACCATAAAATTCATTCATCACAATTATCTTTACAGGTCCTAAATATTGCTATTCTAGGAGAAATTCTACTTGCCAGCAAACTACAAAAATTTTCTTCAAAAATTATAAATACTAAATACCTTGAATGATCCCATTAAAACATTTCTGTTATCAATTGCTGCAGCCGCTAAACATGATTTCCCTGAGCCAGTCATTCCATGAAGAACAACAAAATTACCTCTTTTCAATTTTTTCAGATATTGTTGAGTTTCATCCAACTAAAATAAAAATAATGCATAAGAAATAAATCCAAATTAACTTCATTAGTACTGCCAAATCCATTTCTAAAAAAAAGTAGAGTACAGTTTTAAAAGAAGCATCCTGTATTGATGGAATAAATTATGATTTATTACATTCCTGCAGCAAAAATAAGATTTACAATGTCTAATTTTCTTTTTTTGGTTCAAAACTATAAAACAAGACATCAACAACAAAAATCAGGTAATTTTAAAATTTCTTATATGCATTAATATGCAAGAAAACAAAAATACATACAATTTTTCATTATTCATGTTTCATAATTGTTTCAAAAGAGTCAAACAAAACTATAAAAATAAAGCAAAAATAGATTTTTCAAACATCATTTTACCTTTTTCAGTCTATCAACATTGTAAGGTGGAGGATGAGGCACACCTCCCAATAGGAAAGCATCATAAAATGTTTTCTCATCAACTGAGTCAGTCTCACAAGTTCCTTCACTAAATTCTTTATATAACCAATCATAATCCTTCCTTAAACTTTCCACAAAATGATCAAATGCTTCAAAACCCTTGAGAGGCAATAGATCCAATAAATGACGAGTCTGATCTGTCCGTGCTCGCTGAAACAATAATATTACAGAAAGAAGGCAAAAAGAGTCAAAGATAGCTAGGTAACTAAGTTGAATATTAATTCATTCATTCTTTCTAGAGTATTAATAACCAAGGAGAGATAAGTATAAGAAAAAGAGACAAGAAAATTTAGTAAGCTACCTCTGAATAAATTGCTTGACAATCTTCATGACTTATCGCTCCACTAGTTAATAAATGTTCCATTATGTCTTTTACATCCAAATCTTGAACAATTTTTTCTCTGAAGTGATGAAGCTTCACTCTTTTCATGGTATTCATTTTTTAACCTCTGTTTCAAACTCACAAGCTATGCAAGGGTAATATAACGATCAAAAAACATTAATTGAACGATAATTGCTTGTAGTGTTTGTTATAATCAGGGTGTTGATATAACTCTTAATTATATTTAGAATCGTGACTTGTTTCCGCTTGTTTCTAGTCATTAAGTTCAACTTTATTTCATAAAATGTCAATATTGACAGTTCATTCACACTCTCTAGTTGTATACCAACTTTGGGAATTCCCAGATTTCGCACAGAAATTTGCCGCCCTGGCTGTAACTGCTTCGTAAACCAACGCAATCTCATACACTGCCCACACACGTCAACCACACCAAAGAGTATAAGCTACACAGATTTTAAAAAAGTAAAATGTAAGGTCACAAACTGGACGTAAAGAGGAACCCTCTCATCTAATCAGAAGCTTCGTTACGACTTATATTGTTGGTTCTGGGGCTTTCGATTAGCTGACAATATCCTCCCCCTATCCTGCTTGTGATTTCTTAGTGTCACTTGTTTACATCGCAGTATACGCATCTGCCAACCAATTCTGACTCATCCTATCTTCGAAAATCACGGTGTACAAGTAACTCGCAGTGTGCATACATCATACGCTGCATTTCAGCACTTAACTACGGTGTGCACTCAATTTATTTCTGCCCAGATCTATTTTTTGTTTCGAATTTTTGTAAAACCTCAATATGTAGCTCAATCTCCCCATCCCCATCTCGATCAGGCTTTTGTCCAGTTTCCCTGATCCATTGACCTAATGCTAATATGGCCCTTGTTTTGCTTCTGGGCGTAAATGTAGCTTCACTGTGGGCACGTTTTGTTGCACTCTCCTTGTGCTTGTAATGGTAAGAGCATATATACTCTTTGGGTAAGAGTAGAGGTAAGGGCGAGTTGCTATTTTGTGTACGTGTACCGATGCAAATACGTTTTCTATAACTCGGAAACAAAAATAAATATTTTTCAAATATTACTAATCTTGCGATTTTTAAAATTTTGTTTTATTTATTTATGTAAAACTTTCATTCATCTTTCAACTATTTATATTTAAAATGACGGGAAGGGATTCGGAACTCAAGAAAACGTGCGCAGATAAACTTCTGCCCCCTACGTCACATACAGTTTCTACTGTTTTTTGACTGACTAAATCCAACTCCAAATCTAAATTTAATCTCTGAATATATATCATATATATATATATATAATATATTATATATATATATATATATATATATATTATTAAAAACGAGTTCTAACACTAAACATCTCGTGGCTGCGAGTGTCGCTCGCCTTTCACCAAAGAGGGGACTCCCGGACTACCTCATTTGAGATTTGTTCCGACAAAACGAGTTTGGCTGCTTCACAAGGGCTAGTCCAACCCCCTGTGAAGTATCCTAAACTCTATGCTAATCCTAATTCCTTCTGAATGGTGACCGCTGGGTACCTACGCAGAAGAGCGCGTGATAAAATGCGCGTACGCAAAATGCTAAATGGCGGTCCTCTTGACAAGGTCGGTATTTACATATTAATGGTGAAAATTGTAAAAATACAAAGAGTATAGATAAAACTAGCTCTAAAATTAAGATTGAAAGAAAATATGGTTTTGAATACTGCAGAAAATATAGTTACTTTTGTTACAAAAGTCCACGATTCATTTCTCTCTGTGAAATTCAGAAAAGTATTTACCACACAGTGGGACACTCCACCTATCACATTCTTTGTCTGACTCTTGCGAAGTAAGCACCGTCTTTTGCGGTAAGAACACATAATTGTGCTGACCAGACAATCGAAGAAAAGGTTGAATGGAGGATCGGCGAAATGAACCTGGAACTCGTGGAGATTCACCGTACTTCAAGATTGAGTTAACTACCAAACAACAGATTCACCCAGTCTTACTTTTGTAGTGAATCTTTTTTTTTATCTACATCGTTTCTCTGCCCTTGGTAAATGTCAAATTAACACAATATTCTGAAGGTGATGGAAGAATCCATTCCGTGTATAAACTGCTTGCGTCAATTGTTATAAAAATATAGGATAATTGATTAATCAATGAACAATGGTGTTGGACTGAGAAATATCACAAAACGAGTTCATTGAGCATCTCATTGGACGCAATTGGACCAATTTATCCCTTCTACATAAATTTGTATTGTCAGTAACATGTAGAAATCTTAATATCACTTCGAATCGGTATCGTCTCATTGAATTAGCCGCCAAATTATTATGTATCCTCTCGGTTTTTCAAAAATATTCGCCAACTAGGGGTCGGTTTCACCAAACAAAGAGTAAGAGTTTACTCTGGAGTAAACCATGTTTACTCGAGAGTAACTTCTTGTAGCGTTTCACCAACACTTTACTCGAGTGTAAATTCAGAAGTAACTTTACACCTGAGAAAATCCGTCGGGGTAAAGTACGGAGTAAATTCATAGTTTTTTCAACGTGCATGTACTCCGAAGAGTTGGTTGGTGGCTAGACGATTACGAATGATAGTATTTGAACGACCGATTCCAGCAATGATTCAGATATTATCCACTAGTGCGAAGACCAGGATGAGAGAGAATGATTTTGGTTTTAATTCATGGACGATCGCGATTCTTGTCAGAGGTTATGTTTGAGCCAAATCAGCTTCATTAGATAATTGTCAGAACTTGTAAATTTATTTTTCGCACCATGTGGATACCGAATAAAGGTATTAGTACCGTAATACAATAACAAAAGGAAAAGTAATAACACAGGGATAACAAGTACTTAGAAGTATTTATATTTATTACAGTATACGTGTATGTGACGTATGGGGGAGATCCATTTGCGACACGTTTTGCTTGAGTTCCAGAATCCTTCCAAGCATATTTTAACTATAATATTCAAAGTTGAATACAAGTTTTAAAAGAATAACAAATAAAAATAAAAAATTTAGAAATACGCCGAGAACGCAACATTTGAAAAAATATAAAACATTTTCGTTCCCGAGGAAATGAAAATTTATTTGCATTGCCATCGTAAAACGAACTGCAAATTTTGATTTTTCCTGCATCTAACAAAACAGTAACTCGTCTCCAGAGAAAAAGAATGAATATTTATTAAGAAATAAAGATACAGAAACTAGGAAATAACCGATCCGTAGACAATCTATGCGAGTGCTTTGTGTTCCGATCTTTATGTCTGGTTCGTGTTGTGCGTTGAGATTGAGAATGGTTTCAATTCTATAAAAAACAGTAAATCTTGATTATGACACAAGGCTGTGCGTGAAGAGAATTGGACCACCTCAGCCTGATATGAAAATTATACAATGTGAATGAAATGGCAATTGTTCTTTAGTACGGAAATTTCATAGGGGTAAATGACCATCTTAATTTTACGGGGCATTTAACCTTGTATTCTCTCGTTGATTATTAAATGTTCCAAGAATATCAAGAAAATTTCCGGCTACCAAAGGTTGACCGCGTTTCACAGTATTCTCCGTTCGTGAGCTAGCAAACTGAAATCTGAGCTGAATGTGCTATATAAAAGAATCTGAGAGAGCTTTCTCAACTTTGAAAATATTACAGTTTTAAGAAATACAATGTCGGAAGAGAGATTGAATGCACATTGTATGTTTTGATTAGATAGAGTTCTGTTATGAGACTCAGTTAATTTTAAAGAATTAGTGATAGATTTGCAGAATCTAAAAACAGAAGACTAAATTTAATTTATAAATCATGTGTTTAGCTTGTCTTCTTGGGAGATAATTCGATTGTAAATATTACTTTTGTGACTTAAACAATCCAAATATAACAATTTTTCAAATGTCTAACTTTATTTGATCCTGCAACTTGGTGTCCCCTCCCTGTTGCTAATCCCAGAGCCGTCACTGGCCGCTGTTGAACTTTGGCAACTAGGGGAATAGGGTGGCCTGAGTCCGCTTCCTTCTCGAAGAATGAATAAACTGCGTACACGTTTCTCGCTTGACTTCTCAACACTTCTCGCTTACGTACTTTTTCACACATATTAAACTCTAACTTTTGTTCGAAAAAGCACGACAAGAAATGAGTCGATATGCGTGAGAAAGCACGAGAAATCCGATCTCTTCTGCAGCGAATACAAGACTCAAGCATATTCGCTCGTGACCGTCACGTGGTTTTTCCTTGCTGCTACGTATCTCCGGCCATCGGACTTCCAAACTGGCGGCCAGGTTAAGTTAACTACACAATATTTGACAGCTTTCTAATTGTTCATGAACACTACAAATGTTGACGTAATTGATATTTGTTAGAACATATTTTATTAGTTTAGGGGAATGAAATGAAGTTTTTACGATTCATTCACCCGCGCGAAACCAGAAAATAAACGGACAGATCGGATCTTGAGAGGATTTGCGCGTCTCAAGGCCCGTTTTCACGGTGGCATTATGTCACTGCATTTCGCGTCTTTCTCGGCCTACCGCTAATGTCGCATGATCGCGAGCACTGTTTGATACGGTCGCGGCGTCTAGCGGTACGATCGAGAATGACACGAAATGCAGTGACATAAAATCACTTTGAAGATGGGCCTCGAGGTGCAGTTATAAAAATCCGACTTTATTGGGGAAAACAGAAGAAAAGAAAAGGCTTTCCTGCACATAAAGAATGTTTTCACGCCAAATTATAATCGAGGAGAGTATCTGCATAAAATGCGTTGGACAGACTCAAGGATGCTTTATGTTAAAGCGAGGGCCGAAGGCCCGAGACTCGCACTCAACTAGGATAAGCATAACAATTCCCCGGGAAATAGCGTCCTTCGCACCGCGAGTGACGCATTCTCGGAATCGAGAGCGCCGTTCTAGAGCTAATTTTACTCATTTTAGAACATATTTGAATGTATAAAACTATTTATCCTTTGATGCATCATGAACTTCTCATCCTTAGTGATAAAAAATGTGGCAATTATGTGGAATAACCATCACGTGCTCTATTCTAATATATTATTGTAATAATATTTCTATCTACGTGACAGCTGGATACAGCGATGTAGCCATTTACTCCGGGGGTAGATGTGGCCGTTGTAGAGGTGGTGTTGTGGCCGTTCTTGCATTAGATCAAAACAGTAGCAAGAAACAAACTGCAATAAGAGCACACAACAAGAGACGACTCAGAAACGTACTCACGATGCATAACCAAATAAGTAATGACGATCTTAAACGTCAGTTGCTTCGCGCTATGAGATTTCGATTTTCCCGTAATAAGCATCGGCAACTCAGGAATAACATTGCATCACAATTCAAGGCCTCTGATTGGATAACGGAACCCCCTCTCTCCTGTCGGCTGTCAAATAGACAAGCATTATTCGTATTATATCAATGTTGTTTAGCTGAATCCTAAAATCAAGAACAGAGACTATTGATACGGAATGACTCGTCATTCACAAACTTCATATAAAGAGAAAAATAAGTAGATACTAGAGAATTTGTGCTTTATTCTTAATCTAATGTGTATTGTTTTATTACACACATACAATTTATGTTTCAAAGAATATATAAAACATTTAAATAATTAAACAACAAACATTTATATGCAGAAGATCAATTACAATCTTCTCTATCAAAATGTAAAAAACAGTCTGATTCACAAGCTATATCATTCATGTCATTAGTGATTCACACGTAGGCAGTGCTTAAAAATATAATTCCAGTACAATCGATGTAAAATAATGTTGCACATCTGTTTAAACTACTTAATACAACATTCATTGATGTAGTTTGCCACATATTCTATCAATATAATCGGCAAGATAATATTTGTATGTTGAGATCATTATTTTGTACCTGTGAAAAAAGAATAAAATACTTTAAGGTAAATTTATAAGTTAATTAAACAATAATTTGATACATATATTATAATTATATTTCTTATTAATAATATAATTCCCCATAGTTAGTAAATCGTCCAGTTTCAATTTAATCAAAGTTGGTAGTTACTGTACAATAATACAAATCAGCCGTAGCCCTCCACGCATGGGAAAGTGGCCACATCACTCTTTTTGATAACACCGGCGTCATAGTCAGAAGACCGTTGGGGACGGTCGGGGGGTTAGAGTAAAAGAGGCTGTGGAAACATTTATTTTACCGCGACGCCCGGTCACGTCCCCGTTACTCCATGACGTCCGACCTTGAACGAGAGCCTTCTCCCACCTCACCCAGGGGACCTGAATGGCCAATCAACCGGCCAACCGATTGGAGCGGAATCGAGCCTTATATAAACTCGTGTTACTTGGGAGTTCCACCAAGTAAAAAAAAGGCTTCCTTCTCCATCCCGATATTACTCGTGCAACTTTTCTTCAATGATGACCTTGCTTCCCCCTCTCAGGCACAATAAACGAATGACGGCAAAAGCTCGTAGTGATGATGACATTCCAAACACATCTTCACTGGCGGGAAATATAAACAATTGAACTTTTGAAGTCGAGAACTTCTATCAGTTATTTTCTCCCCAAAATCTAAAGAAATGATCGAAGCAGGTAAAAATCTGTCATAGGAGATACTTCAAACCCCTGAGAAAGAACGCAAATTATTAAGAACGTGGAGAAGACATGACTGATTCTACAGAGATTGGCATTGCTTCATAAAATCTAGTGGCCGATTTCGTTCGTAATACCTCCAACTCTACCAGCATTTCTTCAATCCATCGTTCAAGGAAAGTTGCGCGAGTAATACTACTAGAGGGCATTGCGTCAGGAGGCGCTACTATGTAATTAACTGTCAAGTCTTTGTCTTTTCTCTTTCTCCTGCATAAATGCTTTTGCCAATTTTTGGACGCTGTTCAAAACTTTGGCTATTAGAGTATCGTATCTACAAGATTTCCCCCCTGTAAGTGTTTTGTCCAATGGCGGGTAAGCTTCTTGTCTTGGTCTTTCCCAACGCGGGCATCGCAAGCATGTATGCTCAGCTGTGTCAGTTTGCTCGTACTCTGTGCAACTCGTCTTCCGTTTTTCCTATTCGTTTCGCATAGTGGTTAAATCTTTCATATCCTGTCAGTATTTGAGTCACAAAGTACTTAATTTCTTGTAACTATTGTGGCTTGCATTTAAGCCACTTTTCAATGTTCGGAATTAATGTCTTGGTCCATTGGCCTACTGACTGTGTTGCATTCCATCTTTCTTGTCAGTTGTGTAGGATTGTTGTTTTTGTTTTTTTTCTTTTATGTCATTTCCGACGTTTCTTTCGGGTATATTTTTCCTTTCTTTGATTTACTGGTTAATTGGCTTTATCCCTGCGAGGACTTGCAGGGTTGCTGAAGACGCGGTTCTGTTTCCTCTGCACCTTTTCTAGTGCTGTTCACAACTTTTTTCCTCTGTGGGGCTTTGGACCATACGAGAGCAGAATAAAGCAACATCGAGATGACTGCGCTGCGGAGAGTGACTCTTTTGGCTGTTCCTGGGCCTCCGATACTAGACATTAACCGTAATAGCATTGCCATTTTTGCTGGTTTCCTTTGTGTTCCCGAAACGCATTTCCGTCACCTAGCATTACGCCTAGGTACCGCCTTGCTTGGACTGATGACAGTGTTTCTTAGTAGGATGTGAATGCCCTGCCTTCTGCTTGGCCCCTTAAAAATAGTGACCCTTTTTTTTTTCTTCAAGTGTCAGTATGTTGATCTGCAACAACTTATCGATTCTTCACAATGATTCGTTGACCTTATATATGAGTTGCTCGGCGCCTTCAGCCGTGACTACCATTGCTAGGTCATCTGCAAAACCTATAAATGTTGCTCCGCGAATGAATGTAAGGTTACAAACTCCGTGTATTTTCGAAAATTGCGTAAATTCAAAATTTTTTCGGCGTCTTCCTACAATTATGAAGGATTTTTTAAAAATAAAACGTGTCAATCAAAAACATTCAAATAAGGTCATGTTGAATTTTTCGAAAATATGAGTATTTTTCGCGCAAAATGGAAAAGAACCTGAAATGGTAAATTTTAATTTCTCGCGCTTCGTTTGAGGCAGTGGCAACCTGTAAAAGTAATTTGAGAAGCGCTGGAGGCAGTTGGTTATTCTGGACATTCCTTGTGATTATTTAATTTAATAGTAATTAACTTAATATTGCAAATCATAAGACACTAGGAGCGATGCTGTATCTATATTACATTGCGATGTAAATGTGCATTACGTAAAGGTGTCCAAAAGAGCTGTTTTACGTTTGTGGGGTGGGAGAGCGAGTATATTTGTTGAACGACTTGTAAGAAAATGCCTTCGCTGGTTCGTGCAAGAGAAATTTCGAAAATGACAAACATTGAGGTTGGTAGCACACTTTGGCGTCAGAATCTGATTTCCAATATTAATTACTTCAAAAAATATGTTATCTGTCTGGGACTTTATTTGCGTTTCAGGCACCTTGTTTCGTGAGCAGATGCATACCATGCGCATTTCGCTCCGCTCCGACGCGCCAAAAGCAGGTGGATCATGGGAAAAATATTCTCACGGAGTTTCGAAACAAAGCACCGATCGTCAAATAATAATTGAATTACTTTGCGATGTGCGAAGTTGTTTTACGTTGCAACGCGACCCCAATGCAGCTAGTCCGACTGATGACTAACAATGCGCGCTAGCGGCATCGTAAGTTGAAACAGCAATTTTTCTCGATTTTCTCCTTCCCAGGTCGAACGGCCGCTGGGGAGGAGTTTACCTTTGTGACGCTAGCTAGCGCTTTTTAAATTTGTTGCGACTGTACTGACGCAACGTCTTCAAACCCCTAGGGGGCGTTGAGGGCTTGCTAGGAGTGCATACATACATACACACATACATTTTTATTTGGAGTAATCCCCGTTTAATTTTGTTGGTCTGCTGTCCAGTCTCGGCGCAGACAATCGTCAAGAAGAACGCCAGGTAGCATTTCCGCGTACACGCCTCTCCCTCCCCCCTCTCTCCCTCTCAAGCACTCCTGCATCACTACCCAGCAGCCTGAATTGGGAAGGGCTTAGGAAAGTAGTAGGGTTTAGGACACTTCGCAGGGGTTGAACTAGCCTTTGTGAAGCAGCCAAACTCGTTTTGTCGGAACAAATTTCACATGAGATTGTTCGGGAGTTGAACTCTGACCACGAGTGTATGAAAATTATACCAAAAACAATCTTAATCAAAACACTCTCCTAAAAAATTATGACTGAAAATACATTGCTACGAAGACTGATCAGAAATGTATCATTTGGAGTACCTTGAACATTCCAACTACCATGACATCACTTTCCATCAAAACTGAAGTGGAGAAATTGTACCTCATTTTAACAAAAGAAATTAATATGTCTTTCTGGAAAGGTACACAATCTATGCATCATAAAGAAAATTGAAAGTTCAAGAAAAAAATCAAAACTCTTACCTGTTGATCGTATTGTGAGTGGTATTGCTTTTTGGTCATATTTGAAACTCTCTAAACAAAGTACATTAAGTAGTGTGCAATACTGCACAAAAATACTTTGAACACTTCACAAATATCAAATTAGTGTAATTCCTTATCCCATGCAGGCCAAATATCTTCCGGTCTTCCAATAAATCCATGATAACTGAAGAATAACGTAATCCCTTTCTCTATGTCAACTTCATCTGAAAATTAAATGGTAAATCCCACATACTTTCAAGTATTATTTGTAACCTTTGCAAATTTTCGAAAAATTCAAATGCAAATCGGACTTGAATAATCTATATAAGTGTTGTTCACACTATCTGATGACAAAATTAGTGAAAGAATATTGGAGCCGTTCTTGAGAAAATCTTGTTTTTAAAATTGACTTTATTTCACGAATATTTACGTTACAACCACACATGAAACAAAAAATTATAAAACAGACTTTAGAGAAAGACCTTGTTTTGAAGTTCATTCAGAAGAAAAAATCTATCTTGAATATTGTAACTGAAGGAAAACCCCAAACAAATTTAGAGAATTCAGCGAAAATCGGACCTAAAAGTAATCCAAAAATTTTAAATCGTTTTTAAGAAAAGTTTGAAAATGTCCTGGAGGTAACACGAAATAGAGTTACCACCAAAATTAAATATCCGTTTAAAATTCAAGGATCTGTGACATAATCCATATCGATAGGGGAATATCAATTTTGGTGAAAATCTTGGTTACGGTTTAGCTGCTGGAGTTGCTCACAGACATGGCGGATGGACGTTTGGCTGTAAATTAATTTTTTGGCATCAAAAATCCAAAAAAGAGTAATCTGACTACACAAAGTGTTAAATGAATTTAATACACACAGAAACATTATTCCCTTTTCTGTTTCAGGGACCTACTTACGATTTTTTTCTACCGAAACATTGCTGTAGCGTTATGTGACTTTCTCTACACTACATACGTACTATTCAAGAAATAAATTATTGATAGTATTAAATATTTTGATTAAGGAATAAAACGTACCTGGCAAATGTTTGAAGCACACTAATTTATCTGTTATGTGACTGGCTACTCGCTTAAAAACATGTCTGCTAAGAATTCTCTTTTGTTTGTAATATGGTAAAAGGTGCTTCACAACAGTTCGAGCTATTCTTTGCTTATACTGTGCAATTTTCTCTTTCGTACACCAAACGTCATCTTCTTCACTATCAAACCCAAACAAGTCAAAAAATGTGTTCTTCATTTTTACTTTTGCATCAGGATCACAACACATCTTGGATATATTTTCATGTAGTTTCTTTTTTTGAAGATGTTTTTGTGTAGTCCAAAATGGATCCACTGGTTCATTTTTGCAACTTTGTGGTACACTTTCTGCCTTTGTCTTGTTATTGCTAGTTTCCTCCTCACTGAGTTCACCATCAGATTCCAGTATTCTTATTAAC